AACATGTAACTGAATGGTTGTCTGTAGGAGTACACATGTAGCTGAACTGTTGTCTGTAGGAATACAGATATGACTCAATGTGTCTCTGTAGAAGTACATATGTATCTTTATGGTTGTCCGTACGAATACACATGTAACTGAATTTTTTTCTGTAGAAGTATACATGTGACTGAATGGTTGTCTGTAGGAGTACACATGTGACTGAATGGTTGTCTGTAGAAGTACACATGTAACTGAATGGTTGTCTGTATGAGTACACATGTAACTGAATGGCTGTATGTAGGATTACACATGTGACTGAATGGTTGTCTTTAGGAGTACACAGGTGACTTAATGGGTCTCTCTATGAGTACACATGTACCTCAGTGGGTCTCTGTAGGAATACACATGTCACTGCATGGTTGTCTTTAGGAGTAAATGTAACTCAATGGTTGTCTGTAGGAGTGCACATGTGACAGAATGAGTGTCTGTATGAGTACACATGTGACTTAATGGGTCTCTGTAGGAGTACTCAAGTAACTGAATTGTTGTCTGTAGGAGTACACATGTGACTGAATGGATCTCTGTAGGAGTACACATGTGATTGAATGGTTGTCTGTAGGAGTACACAAGTGACTGAATGGTTGTCTGAAGAAGTACATATGTAACTGAATGGTTGTCTGTAGAAGAACATATGTAACTGAATGGTTGTCTGTAGGAGCACACATGTGACTGAATGGGTCTCTGTAGGAGTACACATGTAACTGAATGGTTGTCTGTAGAAGTACATATGTAACTGAGAGGTTGTTTGTAGGCGTACACGTGTAACTAAGTGGTTGTCTGTGGGAGTACACATGTGACTGAATGGCTGTCTTTAGGAATACACATGTGACTGAATGGTTGTCTGTAGGAGTACTCATATGACTGAATAGTTGTCTGTAGGAGTACACATGTCACTGAATGGTTGTCTGTAGGATTACACGCGTGATTGAATGGTTGTCTGTAGAAGTACATATGCATCTGAATAATTCTATGTAGGAATACACATGTGACTGATTGGTTGTCTGTAGGACTACACATGTAACTGAATGGTTGTCTGTAGGAGTACACATGTGACTGAACGGTTATCTGTAGGAGTACACAAATAACTGAATGGTCGTCTGTAGAAGTGCATATGTATCTGAATAATTCTATGCAGGAATACACATGTGACTGAATGGTTGTCTGTAGGAGTACACACGTAACTGAATAATTGTCTGTAGGAATACACATGTGACTGAATGGGTCTCTGTAGGAGTACACAGGTGACTGAAATGGACTCTGTAGGAGTACACATGTAGGTCAATGGGTCTCTGTAGAAGTACACCTGTGACTGCATGGTTGTCTGTAGGAGTAAAATGTAACTGAATGGTTGTCTGTAGGAGTGCACATGTGACTGAATGGGTCTCTGTATGAGTACACATGTGACTGAATGGTTGTTTGTAGGAGTACACTTGTGACTTAATGGTTGTATGTAGGACTACACTTGTGACTGAAGTGTTGTCTGTAGGAGTACACCTGTGACTGAATTGTTGTCTGTAGGAGTACACATGTGTCTGAATGGGTCTCTGTATGAGTACACATGTGACTGAATGGTTGTCTGTAGGAGTACACAAGTAACTAAGTGATTGTCTGTAGGAGTACACATGTAGCTGAATGGTTGTCTGTATGAGTACACATGTGACTGAACGGTTGTCTGTAGGAGTACACATGAAACTGAGTGGTTCTCTGTAGGAGTACACAAGTAACTGAATGGTTGTCTGTAGGAGTACACATGTGACTGAATGGGTCTCTGTATGAGTACACATGTAGCTCAATGGGTATCTGTAGGAGTACACATGTGACTGAGTGGTTCTCTGTAGGAGTACACATGTAACTGAATGGTTGTGTGTAGAAGTACATATGTAACTGAATGGTTGTCTGTAGAAGTACATATGTAACTGACTGGTTGTCTGTAGGAGTACACATGTGACTGAATGGGTCTCTGTAGGAGTACACATGTAACTGAATGGTTGTCTGTAGGAATACACATGTGACTGAATGGTTGTCTGTAGGAGTACACATATGGCTGAATGGTTATCTGTATGAATACACGTGTGACTGAATGGGTCTCTGTAGGAGTACACATGTGACTGAAATGGACTCTGTAGGAGTACACATGTAGCTCAATGGGTCTCTGTAGAAGTATACATGTGACTGCATGGTTGTCTGTAGGAGTAAAATGTAACTGAATGGTTGTATGTAGGAGTACACATGTTACTGAATGGTTGTCTGTAGAAATACACATGTAACTGAATAGTTGTCTGTAGGAATACACGTGTGACTGACTGGTTGTCTGTAGGAGTGCACATGTGACTGAATGGTTGTCTGTAGGAGTACACATGTAACTGAATGGTTGTTTGTAGGAGTACACATGTAACTGAACTGTTGTCTGTAGGAGTACACATGTAACTGAATGGTTGTCTGTATGAGTACACATGTAACTGAATGGTTGTCTGTAGAAGTACACATGTGACTGAATGGTTGTCTGTAGGAGTACACATGTAACTGAACTGTTGTCTGTAGGAGTACACATGTAACTGAATGGTTGTCTGTAGAAGTACACATGTGAATGAATGGTTGTCTGTAGAAGTACACATGTAACTGAATGGTTGTCTGTAGGAGTACACATGTAACTGAATGGTTGTCGGTATGAGTACACATGTAACTGAATGGTTGTCTGTAGAAGTACACATGTGACTGAATGGTTGTCTGTAGGAGTACACATGTAACTGAATGGTTGTCTGTAGGAATACACATGTGACTGAATGGGTCTCTGTATGAGTACACATGTACCTCAATGGGTGTCTGTAGGAGTACACATGTCTCTGCATGATTGTCTTTAGGAGTAAATGTAACTCAATGGTTGTCTGTAGGAGTGCACATGTGACAGAATGGGTGTCTGTATGAGTACACATGTGACTTAATGGGTCTCTGTAGGAGTACTCAAGTAACTGAATTGTTGTCTGTAGGAGTACACATGTGACTGAATGGATCTCTGTAGGAGTACACATGTGACTGAATGGTTGTCTGTAGGTGTACACAAGTGACTGAATGGTTGTCTGAAGAAGTACATATGTAACTGAATGGTTGTCTGTAGAAGAACATATGTAACTGAATGGTTGTCTGTAGGAGTACACATGTGACTGAATGGGTCTCTGTAGGAGTACACATGTAAGTGAATGGTTGTCTGTAGAAGTACATATGTATCTGAATGGTTGTCTGTAGGAGTACACATGTGACTGAATGGTTGTTTGTAGGAGTACGCATGTGACTGAATGGTTGTCTGTATGAGTACACTTGTGACTGCATGGTTGTCTGTAGGAGTACACACGTGACTGAATGGTTGTTTGTAGGAGTACACGTGTAACTAAGTGGTTGTCGGTATGAGTACACATGTAAATGATTGGGTCTCTGTATGAGTAAACATGTAAATGGTTGGGTCTCTGTATGAGTACACATGTAACTGAATGGTTGTGTATTCGAGCACAGATGTAACTGAATGTTTGGATGCATTTTTGAACAACGGGTTTGTCAGTTTGGATATGTGGGTACTGTTATGTGTGCATGTGTGTAAAAGGTGTGAAACGTATGCGTGAAGACAAGTGATGCAATAATGACTAATATTGCATTACAATCGTCTCACAATAAAGCAGTTCAAAATCTAGCATGACTGTCCCTGACTGTTCCAGATAGTGCATATTAACGTGTGTTGCACATAGTGATACCGACGGAAGGTTCTTGACCAATCTGTCGTGTTTTCCACAGGTGACACACCTGTCGCGTCACGACATTCATTCATGCCGCTAAACACGCCATGTTTCATATTAACTCACAGCACGTTAAGTTTATAAATATACGCTGATAGGGAGATGGTTCCAGTTTTCACGTGCTCTGAATATCTTGTAGATTAAAACTAATCAGCGCGGTAAGATCCAGATTAACATCTGCTCATGTTTTCAAGGTTGAGGTGACTTATTAAAAAAGCGCTATGAATAAGATATGCCTTCACAAAGAGTACATCGTCATATGAGCGAAATATTCTCAAGTACGACGTAAAACCCAATTTCACCTCACAAAGAGTACAAGTAACTTTGCTTAGTACAGTATGTTAATTGACTTTATGATTATGTTACTACACATGGTACACACACGCGTTATGAAAAGTTGAAAAGAGGAATGGTCAATTAGCATGTAATACAAATAGATACCTTCAAAAACAACGAAAGCTAAAACAAATGTATTTTTTCTTTACCGTTGAATAGATGCATGTTGAATACGTACACACTGCTACTGTTCTGTATCGATTATAAACCTTGGACTTTCAACGTCAATACCCGTGAAGGTCAGGGTTAGAATGTACCTTCAGTGAGTGAGTGAATATTTAACGTCAAATCGGCAATATGAATGTACCTTCAGTAACCCATGCTTGTCGGAAGGGCCGACTAAAGGGATCGGGTGGTAAGGTTCGCTGGCTTGGTTGACACATGTCATCAGTTCCCAATTGCGCAGATCGATGTTCATGATGTTGATCACTGGATTGTCTGGTCCAGACTCGATTATTTTCAGACCGCCGCCATATAGCTGGAATATTGCAGAGTGCGGTGTAAAACTCCACTCACTCACTTCCTTCAACGTCAAAATGACCTGATCAAATTTCGGCTGTCTTTTTGGAAATAGAGCTGACATTTCTTGAAATAATAGCCAAATCATTCAACTCACTTTGAACAGAACATGATTAAATAACGTAGATTTTATTAATGACGTGCATAATTTCTCAGAATCGCGTGTCTCCATGCAATATAACAGAAATGTTGCTAAATAGGACAGAAAATCATTCTCACTAAAGATCACCTCTACAGACGGTACACAAATGAATTTCAAGCTATTGCCTGACTAACACGGCAGATAGTTCAGGCATTAAATATTGCAAATACGTACAGGTGTACGTCCTGTCTAGAGCCCCACTTTGATTGACAGGTTGCGTTTGCTGACTCAGCAAACAATTGAAATTAGTGATTTACTCTAAGACACAAAGCCACCCGACGAAACTGTGCAGTTGAGCGGTAGAAGAGACGAGAGTGAACTACAAGGTAAGCTGCGCGCCATAGTGTAAATGTAAAAGGAACATATCTCTAGTAAAATTATTATTGAATATTATCCAACACAAAATACTAATTAATGTGAGTTGTACAGATTCTGAATTTCATATTGATGTTTGTTGATCGACTTCTACGTTTTTCTAGTGGAAAGCCCTGTTTTCAAAAGATTTAAGACATCATTCTGTGCATGTTCGAGAAAATTATCTACTTCTGACAAAATATATATAAGTAATTTAAAGCATCAATATAGTCAACCCTTTGACGTTAACAATTTGTTAAATGACGAAAATAATGTGTTCGATAGTATCCAATAAATATTTGCGTGATTATTTTTTATCTAATAACTGTGCATACTTCTTTTGTGTTATTGTGCTGTAAAATAAATAGTCCTTTTTTAATAAATAACTAAGTTCGTGTAAATCTATTCACACCCAATCTACCCACAGATGATGTACAGAGAGTTGTTGTGTCTGGCCCTATTCATTGCCTCTGCATCAGCCGCTGGAATCGGGTTCAGCGTCAACAGGAATACAGCATGCGGTTCCTTCAAAATTAAACAAGCTGGCCGGTGGGAACAACAGATATAGTATTTCTATCTGTAAATCTCTACCGGCGTTGACGTAATACCTTAGCAATACCTGAATAAATTCAACAATACCGTAATAAGTATTACTACTTCAGCTTTTAAGTACAACAATTCCTTAATCAGTACAACTACTACAGCCTTTAAGTACAATAATACCTTGGTAAGTGCAACTACTATAGCCTTTAAGTACAGTAATTCCTTGGTAGGTGCAACTACTACAGCCTTTAAGTACAATAATACCTTGGTAAGTGCAACTACTACGACTTTAAGTACAACAATACCAAAACTAATATTTAAACCTCAGGCTGATTATTCAAATTTTAAGAGAGTCACGTTTCAGATGATTTCTCCCAGGAATAACCCTGGAATATTGGTATAGTGCTGACAAACCAAAGGTGGTGATTAAGAGTAGCTGGGATTCGCACCCAGGGTAATAAAGTCCCGAGACAAATATTGAATACATAACTAGATGTTTTAGACAACCGAACCACTGGAACACCGATCCCGCGTAGATGTAATCATACATTAGTGTTTGTTTGTTGTTGAACGCCTCAGCAATATTCCAGCTATATGGCGCCAGTCTGTGAATGATCGAGTGACAAATCCAGTGAAAGACATTATGAGTATCAACTACGAAACTGGGATTCGGCGACATGAGTCAACCACAAAGTCAGCGAACCTGACCTACCGATCAGTTTAGCCGCCTCTTAGGACAAGCACTGGTTGCTGAACATCAATTCTAACCCGGATCTTCACGGGTCCGTATATTGATTACGTCATGTTATTCAAACACAGCACCGTGACACTTTTACTTGCGTATGTACGGCCTTAAATGCATATCTAAAGAAATAAAACAGCAAGTAATAGGTGCTTAATCGAGCCATTATACATTGATGGTGATCGGTTTATGATCTTTGGAGTGTAAGCACTATGTGCGTGATTGAGGAATGTAGGAAACATTAGCATGAAGTTGATTTCTTGTTTATGTTGTTCTATGATGTTTATGAGGGGTCTCTTATTGTGTGTATTACATGGGCAATATTAGATGTGATGTCTGACTCTGTGACTCTGTCTTCACTCAGACCCATGAATGAGTCCATGACTGATGTTGACACAGTTAAAGTTCTGGATGACATCAAGGCTCTCGACACCAACAAAGACGGCAGCCTCACTTCCGCCGAGATGGACAAGCGTACTTTTGCAGCCGACTTCGACAGTTCCCTCACAAGTATGTAACAATAGTTTTAGTATTGATAGAGAAGTTATTCAGACTCATCTTGTCGACCTTGAACGACAACTATGTTTGTAGTAAGTTCTTGTCTTAAACAGCTATAAGTTTGGTTGGTCATTGCACCTAACACCGGGACAGATGGTTGCCCTTCATTTGGATGTTCTTGTCCTGTATATTTTCCGCTGGAGTCGATGGTTGCCCTAGATTTGGATGTTCATGTCCTGTATATTTAATGCTGGAGTCGATGGTTGCCCTAGATTTGGATGTTCATGTCCTGTATAATTTAAGCTGGAGTCGATGGTTGCCCTACATTTGGTATGGTTTGTCCTGTATAATTAACTGGAGTCGATGGTTGCCCTACATTTGACATGTTCTTGTTTTGTGCAGAACCCGCAGGAGCCTATCGTTGCGATTACGCAAAGCTGTTGAAGACGCGGTATGACATCAGCAGTGGCGTCGCAGGCCGCCTCTTTAGCACTGTAGACGTCAACACAGACTTCAAGGTCACCGCTGCGGACGAGGACGAGGCTGCATTCAAGTCGCTCGATAAGAATGGTTAGTAGTGGAGGAAGGATATACGGTACCTTGCATAGGTTGACTGTGTTGCACAAGATTATACAACCCAAAAGCATTCAGCCCCTGCTTTTGGCAGTCATGTTGTTTAAAGATTTTTGCACTGGATTGTCTCGTCCTTACTCGTTTATCTACACGAAGCTGTTATATTTTGGATTGTCGCATTAATAAAACAAATAAACAAACACAACGATGAGAAGTCACAACATAATGAATGATTTTTATCTGAAGGTAATGGCAAAGTGTCTGTGTGTGAAGTTTTCGAGGGGTTCATGGATGCGCTGCAAGATGCGGAGGAAAAGGCCTACTTGCAAGCGGTATTTATGACGTTTCAACAATATTTAACCCAGTTGGGAAACAGTAGCTATGTATCAGATGTTTGATATGCATTTAGAAGTTGGTAGGGTAATACAAGACACTTGGTATGGATGTGCAACTTCTTTACTATTTACACATGACGTTTTTGGGCTGATACTTGCCCCTTCATCAGGTGAATGACAGTGAATAGTTACAGAGGTATATATATACATTGTGTTCTGGAAGCCACAGAGTTGTTTCTACAAAGGTATGAGTAGTATGTACATGAAGCCACAGGGTTGTTTTTACAATAGATTAGTGAGGGAATTAAGCTGAATTAAGGTATACATAAAGTTTGTACAACGTGTTTACATAGAGTTAATGACCATAGATTGAAGCCAGTTAAGGGTGTACAGTGACAGAATTGGGATGTACAATGATAGAACAAGGATAGAAATTGGAATGTACAATAGTAGGCGACTGTGATGAACAGCATGTTAGGTAAACACCATTGTTGCAAGGAAATCAGTTAATGCACCAGGCATTGGGAAGGAAGACACCCTGGTCCCTCTTCATCTCAGGTTTAGACCGTTTAATGTGGATAGCTTCCATTAATTTCCGTTTATGCCAATTGCTAATGTTCACGGCTAAGAATTCTATGTGTTGCCAACTGATGGTATGGTCAGGATTCTCAACCAAATGTTAGGGTGTGGTGGGGCAGGGTAGGGCAGGTAGGGGTGGGGGTGGGGTAGGGGGGGCAGGGTAGGGGTGGGGCAGGGTAGGGCAGGGTAGAGGGTAGGGTGGGGTAGGGTAGGGTAGGGGGTAGGGCAGGGTAGGGCAGGGTGGGAGGGTAGGGTGGGGCAGGTAGGGTGGGTTGGGCTGGGCTGGGTGGGGTGGGATGGGGTGGGGTTGTAGGGTAGAGTAGGGTAGGGCAGGGGTAGGGTAGGGTGAGTGGGTAGGGGTAGGGTAGGGTGAGTGAGGGTAGGGTAGGGTGGGGTAGAGTAGGGGTAGAGTAGGGTAGAGTAGGGGTATAGGGTGGGGGATAGCGTGGGATCTCCTTGTAATATGTTCTGGTAATGCTCCAAAACATGACTTCTGAGCGAAATTAAACATTCTCGCCCATGGGCCAACATATTTTTCGCCCATGGGCG